ATTTTCGCTTATGGACAATTCCTGTGCCAGGACGATAATGCACTTTAATTAATCACCATTTATTAAGCAAGACCGATTCGGTAACTTGACGACATCGGTGCTAGTCACGAGTTTAACCCTCGCTCCAAATCTGAATTCTTGACCAATGAGAACAACCCACCAATCAGACGCTAAACGGGTTTAGTTGATCATTGGTTATTAAGATACTGGTGGAAAAACAGATTCATTGTTTATAGAATTTCGGGTTTCCGTGTGTGGTCAATGTTCCCTTATCTCTCCAAATGTTCGCTGCAGTGTAAATCGGTGCTCATGCTCAAGTGTGACTTAAAATATGCTCCATGTCGGTTTTCAGTGGCCAATCATCGTGTGACCAATCAAATGACAGCATAAAAACGATGTGAACATCTGTTGAAATGACTTAAAGAGCCTTTAAAGGAGCGATAGCTGAGTCGAAGAGCAGCTAAATGGTCTGGATTACAAGATTTTAGTGCTAGAAATTGTTTGAATTTCCAAGAGTTTCAAATAAAATTAATAAAATGCACTCGTGACCATTTCAGTTTTTTTGTTAAATTTTATTTTGCACTCAAACTAATCAATGAGTGCCATGCGTGTGGATTATAATCACACCTGTATAAAAAATTGCCAGTATAATCAGCTACTTTAAGAGCACGGTACAAAAATCTGGTTACAGTCCTTGATAGTAACGAACGCGTGAGCACTGTTGCAGATAAAACACGTATTCCGAGGTTGTCATGGTTACCTCGAATGAGGCTATAAGTGATCCCAACGACGGTGCTCTTCACGCCAGGGTCCCTACTCAAGTGTCTGAGTAGTTCCAATCTTACCTTAATCCATGGTACTTGTGAATGCTTTCATCACAGTTTAAGAAGAATACCGCTATACCTATTGGTGAACACCTTCATAGTAGTTTCTACCGTCAAGTTATGTCCTTCGAAGTAAACTGCACTAGTTAATGCCTTTTCATTCACGGCTGGTACGGAGTTTGCCACAGGACACGGCAAACTTGAAAGAAATTTTCTGTTAGAGAAGCATTTTCAGCGCAGTTCTCGGTAAATTTTTCCACCAGTAAGTGATTTTATGCTCTAAACAAATTCTGAGAGAGAATTACTGCAGTTTGTTTTTACAGGGAACTGCATTTTTAACAATAGATATGTTTTTGTGTGGTTCATGTACGCGTTACCATAGTGAGCATCACGAATGTTCCCGGTTTGAATATTGCAGCAGTGTTATTCACAAATCGTCAACCACAGAGAGGATGGAAACTGATTTGGTTGTAGCAAGGAGGTCCCTTAGCAAGCATCGCGATGTTCTGTCTAGGTTTATGAAAGAAGTAGCGACAGGAACTGCTACAGCAGATGTAGGAGTGAACGTTATCTAGCTATTTGTCAAATGTGTAACAGGATAATAAAAAAAACGCGGCACCAGTGGGGTTACTGCGTGATAAACAACTACCTCTCTAATCCAGCTCTTGAGGCAGGGTCGAAATTGGAAAACGTGATAGCGAAATCACGCTTTGAACTGCAATGAACATCTGTGCAGTAACCACAAGGAATTTTTGAATGTAAATGTCGCTTCAGTACAGTCGCAAGTAAATCGCACCAGCTAAGGCAAAGAGTGTGACTGAATGTTGCGATGGAATTCGCTGGCATTCCATGGGGTTAAAACATTCCCGTATCGTGAAAATCCCTGACCTTGAAAAGGCCATCAGACACTTGCTGCTGCATCCTAAAAACTGGAAGCAATGTATATTGGCCTTACGCCTAAAAATCACGTCTAAGCAATTTTAAATTGTTTTTTTAATGTAAAAAGTGACACTTATTCGAGTTCTTATTATGCAACATTCACAGTCCTACACACTTTGCATGCCCAGGCCACTGATGGAGTCACCATTGCGCCAATTCTATTGGATAACACAGTTAACCAATGACATCTAGACACCTGGAGTACAATCGTTGAATCAGAAAGAGAGCCGACTGCTTTGTGTGTGGTAACGTGCATCAAACTTCACTGGAAAGTGAGCCGATCGCCTTAACACTCCAATCACGTCAAAGCACTAAAGTGGAGCTGAAGAATTCTTACTCAAATATCCACGATGTCCCGAGATGTGGTGGGCGATTTCTCATGATCCAATATGTTCCCCCTTTACTGACAATGACCTTCTAATCACAACGCCAAACCGAGGATGTACTGTGAACGATGGAGGTCAAAGTTAATGTGGATAGTCATTCCTCAGATTTCTAATCCAAGTATCCCACAAAATGTACATGCTATCTGAGTAAATCTATTTTTAATTTTTGAAATTACGGACGCTTGGAACGCCTTAAAGGGGATGAAAGTAGTTTGGCAACTTGATTTCAACAACAGTAAATGCCCCTACAATTGGAGACTTCCATTATATGTGCAGCTAAAAAAGCCGTCGGTTCGTACGGATTCAGAGGACAAATGTGTTCATTCCCTTAATTGTAGAGCAAAAGAGTGATTTCTTAGTGATTCTTCACAGCTTTAGACCATGTCGTAACATTAAGATCTGGAAATTATGTGTACTTCTGCGAGCCCTAATGCAGAGGCGACAGCGGACACAACTGTTTTTTACCATGAGGAAAGCCAGGTGGCTTTGTGTGCGGATGAGAACGTGTACGTAACAAGCGACTGGAACAGTAACCGATGCAAGATTGGGATGAGTCATCCAAGTCAATAATCCTACAAGCGAGCCTCGCTCGCAAGTGATCGCTGACAGTGTAGTACAGACGTACTTTGCATTAGACTAGGCACTAGTAATTTTGATCCGTCAATAATTAATACGTTTTTGTTCTATATTTTTGTGGAAAACTACATTGCCATTTAGAACAAATTCATGCAAAACATAGTGAGTTTTTTCACAATTTTCCTCTGCATGCTTTAGACAACTTCACGAGTTTCGGAAAAGGTCTGACCTGTTTAGTCATGATGATAGTGAACTCCCGATTGAAAACTCATTGTAGTCTCAACCACACAGTAGCTGTAATTTCAATCTCAAACCGCACAATTCTGGTGTGGTTCCCGATGGTTTCGTGGCGTTTTCATTTAACCAGTCAGGTGTTGAGGTGGAAGGTGATCTCTCCAACTTCATCATTTACAGAAACCCTGGCATGGTCCTTTGGGTTGTGGGGACCAGTTACGCTGTGTACACAACCAGGAAAGAATGAAACGACCGAAGGCGGTGACGACGCAATAGCTAATTAGACAACCCATTTCAATTTTGATGTGTTCCAGTGTGGCGCTTTAGCGACGTATAAGGGCGCAGACATATTAGACCACGCCGGACTTAGCCAATCCTCTGTCTTTCTGCGTTCCAATGATATACGGGGAAGGTAGGCAGCCAACCAGAGACAGACGCGAATGAGGAGCAGTACAAAATGAGCGGCACAGCCAGCATGGTGACGTGTGATTCTGGCTTGTGATTGGTCAATAGAGGCTGTTTTATTGTACCAGCATTCTTCATACTAGAGCTAGAGTATTCTACAGTGCCGTACTAGGACACAGACATGTTGGAACACACCGAGCTTAGCCAATTCCCTCCCTTTCTGCGTTTGAATGGTTTGTGTTGAAGATGAGCAGCCAATCAGTAACAAGGATGAATGATAAGCAATATTGGATGGGCGGTGTAGTCGGTATGGAGAACCTGGATGTTCGGACGTTTCTGGCCTGCAATCGGTCAATGAATTCCGCTCTGTTGTACTCGTCTTTAGCATATTAGGACCTCGGGTGTTTTAGAGTACACATGTCATAGGATTTGAAGAATCCTTATCATGTCAGAGTCACCAATTGTTTTGGGCCCCGTCATGAGTTCTTGAACCACGCCGGGGCCACGGAATTAACCCTGGCCCGATTGCGCTTCTCTGATGCCCACGATGAAGAACGCGACCGGAGAGGACGTAGACACAACCGTTTACTTCAGAGCTCAACCACTTTGGTGTCGTTGTGTCGTGGGTGGCGTTTGCGTGCATCTTTATAGCTCAGACGTGTGTCATAGGTGTGAGGATAATCCAAGATAAATATTCGTGCAAATGAGGGGGGAATCGAGGATCCGCGCGGCTGGCGACATGCTGCGAAAGGGGGAACCCTGTGTCGGAGGTTGAAGTGACCGGATTAGCGAATGTGACCCAACACGATTCACAACACGCACATTTACGTGCTCAAAGGTGTCCAAACCATCAATGGGAACGCAGAGAAACGGGAACTGTGCAGATCAATATTTTGTAACTTCACCAGGCTACACTCGGCTGACATTCATAAACCGTGGTTGCCCGCAACAAACTTGACGTATACGACAGACATGTAAAGAAAAAAACGTTTCAGAACGTCTGACAATGTACAGGTTTTGTCCCAAATAATTAACTTTATGACAACTATAAACAGTAAATTCATGTAAATATGTATATAGGGAGAATATACCGATCATGTATTCGGCAACATGTGAGTGGCGATCAGTGGGAATCGGGATTAAAACATCGCGTAAGTCAATAATAACACGGTAAGCGTTCCACACCCTTTGTTGTTTAAATAAAAGGTATTATCCACTTGGACAGTCACCTTCGAATAGAGAAAGAGGAAATCCCACGCACTGTTACTGCCTTCCCAGTATCCACCGTACCTTGAAAGATGTATGACTTCAGAAGACCCTAGCTAACGTGTCTCTGACTCTTCGCTTTTATTGCACAAGTTATCCGCTTAAATGGCTTCGCATTCGAAACCGAAATCCTGATCTGATCTGACTATATTTATTCCGCAAATTCCTGCTAGGATTTAAGCTAGCGTGTGCTGCGTGACATTCATCAAGCTTAACGTGGCAATTGATCACAGCGTCAGCTGTTTTCAAATTCGTCGATCGATACCACCAAATGACGCGAGAAGGCAACTTTCAGTCCCATCTGCTCTCCTCAACCGCCAGGCTGGTTTGTGTGTTAACAGGGGTGACACATTAGAGTCCCGCAAGTTATATGGACGCCACAATAGGCGCGACAGTGCCGTTGAGTTATCAGAAGGTCAAAGTCACTCGAACCCACATTATGAACAAGTCGAAGTCCGCTATCGACCCTTTGGGCGAACCGAGGAAAGTAGTCGTGCGCTCCCTCTCTGTTTCACAGCCGTTAGATATTGAACTTCGACGGCATCAGCGGATCATTGAAAATCAGGAACACTTGCCGAAGCGGTTAGATTCACCCAGCTTTATTATTAAAGCCCCGCGTGGAGATAAGAGCAAAGGTAGCAAATGGAAAGGAAAGATGTCGCGAAAATCTCGCGGTCGGTCACGACGTAGGCGTTATGGTCCTTCGCTGGAGCGTTTCCCGCCACCTAGAATCACGAAATCCAGCTACAGGATTGTCCAAGAAATGCCCTTCTGGCGTCTGGATGCCAACAAGTTCAGGAGAACTGTCAGCACCTTTGAGTCTCGAGAGGTGCGAGAGTCTAAGTGGCGCCTAGCAGTCCTCCAGGACATGCCATTCTCTCAGTTGCCTTGGAAGAAGATGCAAAAACTTTTCACTGAACCCGACTCGCCGAAGCTCAGGCGAAACCACGTGGAACAGGACGTGGTGGCGGGGAGCACGCAACTCAACACACCAAATCAGCCGGAAAAGGGATCCAGTGTCTATGATACTGCTGACTATGGTGCATTTGATCCTGCGATCAAAGTGCAACAGCGTTCAGTCGTTGAGAAAGACACCACATTTGTCGACGCCGGATTAGAGGTTATGAACAGCAGCGCTGGTCCTGAGGGTGTAAAGAATGGGCCTAGCCAGAAGCCACCCAAACCTAACTCAGGGAGAACGCTCAAAGAAGACAAGAAACCGGCTGCTGGAAAGCCACCAGACGTCAACCCACAACAGTCCATCAGAACGCGAGTTGGTGGGTCGGAATGCCGCAGCTGCGATCGAAGGGCCTACCGAGCCGAGAGCATTGAAGCGCTTGGCCAGGTGTTCCACAACTCGTGCTTCCGCTGCTCCGGCTGCTCCACGGTCCTCCATCGGGGAAATTGGAATCACAAGGAGGGGAACTTTTACTGCAACCCATGTCACCGCAAATTAACCATGCAAACTTTCCGACGCTAGTGTCATAATGAAAACGATGGCGTTGATTAACATGAAGAACGCATGCCCGATTTGTTTTAATTTAACCTTTTTTTAGTTTCACTATTTGAGCTGGTCTTTTGGTTTTCGTGTGGTTAGTTCACTTAGGTTATATTAATAATAAAACATGTTTTGGATGGTTAATGTTTTGTATGCAACAGTGCCAATGCACGCCTAACCATCAAAGCTAACTAGCTAGCTAAATTTTCTACGCAGTGATTAAATTATTTGATTGACGAGAATTTCGCATTCTGGCTGATCTTTCGTACTGTCATATATAGCGCATTAGATTCCAAACACTTCCCTACCTCTGCAGTTTTGGGCAACAAAAACGACGTGTTTTATGCACGAACATCGACACACACTAAAATTTGGTTTAACCGTTTACCAAGTTTCGATCACTAAAGTAGTTTTCGTCTTATTTGCCCCTTGTTCATAGGTCCCTCATAGGTTATTTCAGCTGAATTTCACATCATTTGCATACTGTCATTTGATTGGTCACACGATGATTGGCCACTGAAAACCGACATGGAGCATATTTTAAGTCACACTTGAGCATGAGCACCGATTTACACTGCAGCGAACATTTGGAGAGATAAGGGAACATTGACCACACACGGAAACCCGAAATTCTATAAACAATGAATCTGTTTTTCCACCAGTATCTTAATAACCAATGATCAACTAAACCCGTTTAGCGTCTGATTGGTGGGTTGTTCTCATTGGTCAAGAATTCAGATTTGGAGCGAGGGTTAAACTCGTGACTAGCACCGATATCGTCAAGTTACCGAATCGGTCTTGTTTAATAAATGGTGATTAACTAAAGTGCATTATCGTCCTGGCACAGGAATTGTCCATAAGCGAATATGTTCGAGGTATCGTCTCTCGGATCTGTTGCCTCGTTGTATCTGAGAACAACAATGAAGCAACCCAGAAAACCGCTTTAAAAACGCTGCGTGGAAGTAAATGATGATGCAAGCCCCCGACTGAATGATCTGCGGTGTTGAGTTGAAGCGGCATTTAAGGTGAATTGGCAAACATTGGTGCTGGTAGATCCAGAAGAAATGTACAGGTTCCAGCAACTGCCGAACTTTAAGGCACACATTTGACGAGTGCAGTAGTTTTGAGTTCTACTTAAAGTCTAATTGGATGCAACACTTGTTCGTGAAAATGGAAATCCATTTATCCTACAGGAACACTCTTTTGGTTCTAAATCATGCGGGGTTTCTCTTTGACGAAAGTCGGAACACAGTCCCTGTCTTCTACCTTCGATGCTAATTGCT